CTCTTTCCCCTTTTCCTAAGAAAGGGGTTCTTCCTAAGATCTTGAACCTTAAAGTGAAAGTGTGGAGTGCATTTTCCCTCTTCCTGAGCAGGCCCTTTCTCCTCTAGGATTCATTTGACATTGACACTCTATGTCAAATGGAAAGAATTAGGACTTTTCCCATGAGTAAGTGTGTTGAAACATAAGTATGAAAAACTGGGATCTGCAGAGGAAAAAAAAGATTCAGGAGTAAATATCCATCAGTGATTTTGGGTAGCTAATATTAAGTATTTACTGTCCCTATAACTGTTCCAAATGCTTTAGCTATATTAACCTTCCTGACACCTCTGGTGTAGGTACTATCATTATCCCCATTTTAGAGATGAGGCAATTGAGAAGCAGAGAGGTTAAGTGATTTGTCCAAAGTCATACAGCAAGTTAAGTAAAAAAACCAGGACATGAACCTAGGCCAAGAGGCTTCAGAGTCTGAGCCCTTAACCAGTATGCTATTTTACCTCTCACATAGCACATGACATGCCAATAAAGCCATTGCTTAAAAAATGGCACGGCAAATAAGCTTAAAGTCCCTACACCTCAGTTTTGTTTTGTCATCTATAAAATGGGGGAATCGGATTAGATGACCTTTAAGGAATCTTGTGATTCCTGTGAAATGTTTAATTCATTTAGCAAACATTTATTTAAATCAGCAGCTACTTAGTATAGGCCAAGCATAATGTTTGGTTCTGGTGATCAGAATGCCTGCCTTCATAGAGAAGTTACAAACTAGTGTTTATTGTTGGTTTCACTTTAATTCCTGTTACCACCTGCTGGTAGCATGCAAAATTTAACCTAAATCTTTAAAGCTAGAAATTACTTAGGTGTATCTTTCCACCTCAGCAGAAAACTGTTTATTTATATTAAAGTTAGTGCTAATTCTGCACTCCACTTTTCAACCCTGGCTGTTTTGTGTATTTTTTTTTTATATCTTCTAATTCCTGTACCTTTTTTTAAAATAAATTTATTTATTTTATTTATGGCTGCGCTGGGTCTTCGTTGCTGCACGCAGGCTTTCTCTAGTCGCGTTGAGTGGGCTTCTCACCACGGTGGCTTCTCTTGTTGCAGAGCATGGACTCTGGGCACGTGGGCTCAGTAGCTGTGGCTCAAGGGCTCTAGAGCGCAGGCTCAGTAGTTGTGGCGCATGGGCTTACTTACTCCATGGCATGTGGTATCTTCCAGGACCAGGGCTCAAACCCATGTCCCCTGCATTGGCAGGTGGATTCTTAACCACTGTGGCACCAGGGAAGCCCTGTTTTTTGTATTGAATGTTAGTAGTTCTGAGTTTGCAGGAAGACTACAGTATTCTTTTTAGAAAACATAAACTTTTTAGAATCTTTTGTAAATGTGTAGTATAAGCTTCTGTTTTGAACTTCTTTAAGGAGTTGTGTATTTGGTACAGATTTTTCTCATTTACATTTGGACTTTTTGATTTTTTGATGTGACATAATATTAAACACTCACCATTCCTCTAATTCCTAATAGGCCTTGAATTCTAAGATCATTCCTGAACTATTAATATTTTCTTCCAGTTTTGGGACGCCATCAAGTGATCAATTTGGGTATTACATTTGAATGAAAAAGTTGGGTTTTTTTTTTGTTTGGGGGGTTTTTTTTAAATGAAAGGGCCAATATGTATCTCCTAACCAATTCCCCTTCCTTGGGAACAGAACACACTGTTATTCTGGAATTTTATTTGGAAAATTTTATAAGTGAATTTCTTGGTGTGGTTGGATCAGGATGTGTCCAAGACAAACTATCCTATGAGGCATGGTTGTTTTATCCTTATATAATTCATTTCCTCAGTTAAATTGCTACCTTGGCACTGCCGTATCACCACTTCATAACCCATAAATCACCCACAGTCAATCCCAAGTGACATAAACAGTTTGCTAATGGTAGGAAGTAGTGTTTCGAGTAGAAAAACTAAGAATAAACATATTTTCACTTAAAATCCTGAGTGACATTTTGGCCTGAGGCATCAGTAAAAGATCGTGGAGTACAGAGGGTAGAAAATATTGGAGCTAATTCTTGACTAAACTGTATGCTGGCTTTTATGGCAGCTAGAATGAAATGTTGTCAATCTCACTTCCATAAACTTGCCAATTGCTGTTTTTCTTTCTCTGTAGTGAAGTGAGAATTCTACTAGAGAGGAGATGGCTGCCTCTTCATCATCCTCCTCAGCTGGTGGGGTCAGTGGAAGTTCTGTCACTGGATCTGGTTTCAGTGTCTCAGACCTTGCCCCACCACGGAAAGCACTTTTCACCTACCCCAAAGGAGCTGGAGAGATGTTAGAAGGTGATCTTATGCTGCTTTTTGCTGAATAATTGGATTCAGACCTGCTATGAATATTAATTGTAAAGAAGCTATTAAGTGGATTAGAGATAAGTTTGCCCTGATTTCAGCTCCACAGTTCATTTCTTGTCCCCATTTCAAAATAATATCTTTAAAACATAAATCTTTCTCTAGAATCAGAATTTTGGAGCTGAAAATGACTTTGGAAATCAAGGAGGTCATCTAGTTATTTAGACCCAGAAAAGATAAAGTAATTTGACCATGTGAAAGGACAAATTCAGCACTGGAACCAGGAATTCTGTTGACCTCCTGCTCCAGTTTGCTTTATCTTGGCACCAGTCTGCTTCCCTATGGTTGGTAGGTTTGATATATTTTTTTCTAATATAATTCATCAACAGATAGATTAAGAGATTCTGAGAGGAAATAAAAACCAATTTACTACTCTTGTATGTGAAGATGACTCTCCTGGCCCTGGCCCAGGCCCACTGCAGGACAGTGCTGTGTGGTTTTTCTAGCACTGGAGCTGGATTTGCATCAAATCATCCCCCATCTTATTCAGCACACATTTGCAAACTGGCTGGCCAAGATCGGGGCACAGGCTATAAGCATGAAACAGCATTGGTACCGAGAATTTATCAGATTCATGTCAGTTTAGGATCTGGACCAATAAATTCTTAATAAAAGCATAAAAATCACCAGAAGAGCTTATTTAAAGTGTACCTTTCTTGGGCTTCCCTGGTGGCGCAGTGGTTGAGAATCTGCCTGCCAATGCAGGGGACACGGGTTCGAGCCCTGGTCTGGGAAGATCCCACGTGCCGCGGAGCAGCTAGGCCCGTGAGCCACAACTACTGAGCCTGCGCGTCTGGAGCCTGTGCTCCGCAACAAGAGAGGCCGCGATAGTGAGAGGCCCGCGCACCGCGATGAAGAGTGGCCCC